TAAGAATGCAAAGATTTTGTAATTTTGTTGAGATTTGGTGAATGCAAAAATTGTAAAGCTTTGCTGAGATTTTATGAATGCAGACATTGGGAAAAATTTTTTGAAGCGCTGAGAATTTCGTAGAAGTTCATGCAATGCTGAATTTTACAGAAATGTCTGTGCAGAAATTTATAAGAAAATCATGAGGAGCAAAGTTTAGTTTTAATGTTGACTTTTATTTTTTTTATGCCGAGTTTTATTTTGTTGCGTCTGTTTTAGGATTTGAACCCACTTTTATACAAGCGTGACATTCGTGCTTCTAAGAACGAGTCTGTCTCTAAAACATCACGAGGCACGGTACTTCTTGAAGTATTATCCACTAACTAAAAACAAGTGACAGACAATAACCTACTCTTTAAGGTGCTATCAGAATTATATTCTTTCAAGTACTTATAAAGATGTGTTATTTCTAAACCACAGCTGAAGAGGCCGCAACTTCATAGCTTCGTTTGTAGTAGTTGTCGTTTGCTTTGACATTGATTCTGTAAAGTTCAAATTGTAGTTCTGACATTCTTCGAATTATTGGGAGTTGTATTGGCTGGGCGTTGAAGGATATGACTTCAATGTTGAATTTCCATTAAGTGCTAATATTATCGTCATTTTTTTAATTTTTTCTTCCTGGATCTAAGCATATTTCATAATTTCTGCTCATATGATTAAAATATTTTTCATTATCCAAAGATATTTCTGAGTCAATTAATAGTCAACCAAAAAACCCAATATCGCTTACATTTTTCTTGAATATAATATCGGTAGAATTTTTTTAAGAGAGCTCTTCAAGTTTTATTAATCAGTGGGGAACTTGGACAAACTTCACAATAAAACTAATACGAATCATTATTCTGAAGTAATTTGAGAAACAAATAAATTAGATACCAAAAATTAGGATGATTAACCTATAAAGACATAACCATGTCACTGTCTTTAGAAATATAAATAAAATTTAAACCTATACTTTGACATTATCTTTTTGAGTTAAGTTCATCTTTTTTCTTAACACTATCAATCATCATCTCCGTAGTCACTTCATGAAACTCACAACAAGATGAGCAAAAGTAAGCTTGGCATTGATGATCAGTAATAATTTCACTAGTTGACAATAAATTACAGGATATATTAGGAACATGGAGAACAACGCGACGGATTAACAACGAAAGTTTACCAGTTCCTATCTTGACAATTACCGAGAAAAAACCATCAATAATTTTGAAAGTTTTGTTGCCTAGAAATGATCTATAGGAGGAAAATAATTTAGAACAACAAGTCATGTGATTAGTTGTGTCAAAATCAATTATCCAAGAATAGGAAAAGTTAGGAATAACACCAAATAAAGCAGTAGCTACAGAGTTACCCTTCTATAATATAGAGCAGAACGGAGTCAAAGATAATTTTGGAAATTGAAACAGTTTGTGCAAATGTTCTAATTGATCCTTGGCGAAAATGACTACATTCGAATTAGCTGGTAACTCCCGAGTTTCTTTAGCATAGGCTTGATAAAAGCTCGACCTGCACACAATTTTGTTTTCCAATTTGCAATTTTCCTATGAAGCTTCCAACCTGTCTCCTTCGTCTGCCATGATTTTTTGTAATGCTTGTACATAGTTTTTTCCGTTCTTCTTTGTTAGTATCAACCCCTTTTGACACAAGAGTCGATTTCTTATGTTCAATGTTACCAGATGATTCGATGTTGTATACATAATTTTTCTTTTGGAATCCTCATGTCTAACTTTAGAAATGAAAATCGAATTGAGCGTAGAGGTTTCCTACCAAGGATTCCACCTCGAACTTCGTCCAAACTCCAATTAACGCCCGCTAAGATCTTGTATACTTGGTCATTTTCCTCTCTTTACTTGTAGCAAGCAAAATCATTTGAATACTCTCAAATATCATCATAACATTGATCAACTTTCTGTCATTATGTTACCAACTTTTGAAATATCTAGTAACAGCACGGTCACTTTGTTCAGATTTCTAACGTTGAGTTTTTAATTCAAAATTTGCAAAGAATTCTCAAGCTTTGAACAGAGATCTGAAACAACCTCCAAGATATTCCGAGCAGTAGAAAATAATAGATGAGGTTTTCCTATAGTAGGTTCTAAGGAGTGGATGAGTCATGTCATTAACAGAGAATTTTGGGACTGCCATTAGTTCAGATTCTGATCACTAGTAGTAGGTTTTGGGATTTATCTGGTTAAATACCCCCAACTTTGTCTCTCTTAGATCACCAATTTTATGGACTGAGCCCATTTGAGGTAGTTATGACAATTAAGTTTTCTAACAGTGAGGTAAGATGTTAAACTCTAAGGAAAATAATCAACTGATATACCCATGAGACGAGCTGCAAGGCAAGGTGAGATGGTTTCAGAATTACTAGAATTTTTTTTTAACTCTCATCATCATCACTAATTTGTACAACATTCTCAAAATGCGAGAAAAGAATAGTCTGTGTGCAGTGGCTACCTTGAGCAAAACAAGAAACTCCTTTTAGTTTGGATACGGGTTAAAAGTGTGCGGCTTCGATGATAGAGGAAGGCAAAGGAACGCCTCGGGTCTCTGAATGCCATGATCATGTTCTTTGAGTGTCGAGCTCCAGTAGTTCCTTCCCAGCGAGCAATAATGTCGACTATGTTGCATTCCCAAGTGTGATCCAGTCGTTCCTTACCAGCCGCGAATTGGTCATTGACTTCATAGTCGCGAGCTGGTTCTTTGAATCTTGCGATCTAGTCATTCCTTTCCAATGAGCTTTAATCGCAACAAACTTGCGAAGGATTTCTCAGAGTTGTGGTCCAGTCATTGCTTTCCCAACTCAGTTATAATAGAGGTTGTATGGCGACATGTGATGTTAACTAGATCAAGGCTCTGATACTATGTGATCTTTGAAATGGGAAAAGTAATTATTTCTTTTCAATTTCATAATAGAGGGAGTTGACTCCCATATTGGATAAGCTATAAAATCAGTCATATCTCCCCATAATAAAAAAAGAAAATTGGAAATATGACACCAATAATTCTACAACAGCAAAACCTTTATCCCACAAAGTGGGATCGGCTACATAAATCTTTATTCTCTATTGCATCCTATTTAGTGTCATTCTTTCATTTAAATCTAATAAATTAAGATTTAGGTCTACCTCTGCCTTAACATAAGTCAAAACTAAAATAACTACTCTTCTAATTGGATCAACAGATGGTCGACGTTTAATGTGACCAAACCATCTAAAACAACTCTTTAATTTTGTTTGTCACTCGAGCTACACTGAGCTTTTCTCTCGATTTATCCACGAGAAGGATATTATCAGTAAAAAAACATACACCAAGGTACATTGTAAGTGTCCAATAAGACCATCCATATCTAAGGCAAGAAGATATGGGCTTAAAGCCGATCTCTGATGTGAACCAACAGAAGTAGGATAATATTTGATCAATCCTCCTGTTCGAACACAAGTAACAACACTTGCATACATATATTTAATAACTTGAAAATAAGTCATATCAACACCATTCTTCTCAAGAACTCTCCAAATGATATCTCTTGGAACCTTACTTGGAACCTTATCACATAAGCTTTTTCTAAATCAATTAAAATCATATGTAGATCCTCCTTGGTATCTCTGAAGTTCTCCATCAAACCTCTCACTAAATGTATAGCTTCCGCGGTAGACCTGCCTAGCATAAATCCAAATTGATTATGAGAAACCTTTCTAATACGTCTTAACCTATGTTCAATTACTCTCTCCCATCAACTTAATTCCTCTAGAATTTGCATACTCTTGTGCATCCCCTTTCTTCTTAAAAATGACGACCAAAATACTCTTTCTCCACTCCTCATAAATCTTTTTAGTTTTAAAAATAATATTAAATAGTTTAGTAAGCCAAGAAACTCTCAAATCTCCTAAATATTTCAACACTTCAATTGGGATATCATCAGGTCCTATAGACTTTCCACCTTTAGTTTTCTTTAAAGTCTTCTCAACTTTTATTTTACTAATGTGACGGTATAGATGAAATACTTTATTATTATTAACGATATTAAGATCACTAAGGTCGATCGCATTTTCCAAAACGTAATTAAAAAGTTTATCAAATTAATTCACCAACCTATTTTGAATAGTTTTTTCTACGAAAATTAATTTTTGATTTTCATAATACACTTTACTTGAGCTAAATTTTTACTTTTATTTTCTCTTTGTCTAGCTTAGTTTATACATATATTTTTCACCCATAATTTTGAATACTAATAACAAAAAATAATAATAATATAAGATAACTAAAAAAACCTTTCTAGGAAATCAAAGATGCGGTATCATTCTCTATCTTAGACTGTTTTTATTTGCTTGGAAATGAAATTTAGCAAAATTGTTAGTCCTAAATAGGATAATGCATAATATTATTTTATATAATGAATATGTGTGCAAGTTTGTGTATCTACCATGTATAAATAATATGAGTCGGTGCTTATGCATACATTTTATCTGCATAACTTCTGAGCAACACCAAATGTTTTGTCCCCATATTCAAAGCGTGTGGTAAGGGGGGTTCCACTCCCATCTTGAGTGATTTCAGAAAAATAAATATAAATATGTGGATATACATATGGAGACATACATGTGAACGCTTATATATCTAATCACTTTCAACATCCACTAATGTTGAATGAGAAATCCTTGAGTAGAAGCAAATCAACTGTCAATTTTAAATTAATTAAAATTTGAGCAACTATTGAAGGAATTTCAAGCAACACGATTATCATTCCAACGTGGTTGAATACCAGCATAGATGCATTCATATTCTATATCTATATTCTAACCTCATTTGAATTAAACAACAATGATGTTGTTTTCCTTCCTTTTTTTTCAAAATGTAAGAACAACAAAAAAAATTAACCTAATACTAAAATTATATTCTAGCATGAAACAATTAATTACTTTTTGCATATAACAGAGTTCAGTTCAATGACATACCTAACGTCAGCTGGAAGATAAGCTGCAGGATTAATTCTGCATCGAAGTCTGAGATTTGCAGCAGTAAATATGCACACAGTAGCATCCAGAAAACTAGCATAAATAAGTTGACTGTCACAGGAAAAGGTAGCATGGGAGATTGGAGGAGAAGATTCCCGAGGCACCCACTGAAGATAACAGAGGATAAAGACCTGAGAAACCTTCATTAACTTGTTCTTCATATGAGAATCCAAATGAAAAGAACGCAAATACCTGTCTTACACAGTCTAGCTTATTAGCCTCATATATAGCAATCTGTGTCTCATGTACAACAAGGAAATGAATCTGATCCTGATGAAACTGCACACGAGTATCCGTAACCACATTAGATGAGCGTCCTGGTGGAACTTGCAAAAACCGGCTCCTTAGCTTTTCCCAGCCATCAATACCCCAAATACAGAGCTGCAACAAGAAACAATCTCTTCAAGTTGTAAATGCTCCGAAAATTTTCAGAAGGATGATGAGTAAACCGATCAGTGGAAGTGGATGAGTTTTTGGAATGGAAATCAACCTGCGCATCAGCCCCAGATGAGACCAACAGGTTTAATGGATGGGAAAAAGCGAGGCCAGTAACTCTTTTTGTGTGGCCTTTGAGTTTGCTTTTAACCTGCATGACCATAGTGGATCATAAGGTTGAGCAGAGTTATTCAGAATAAAGCAGTAGGTGAAGAGTGCTATTTTGCAGTTTCATACCTCATCAACTCGGACATTATATATTTGGATGGTGGAATCATCCATTCCAATTGCAATTATGTTATTATCTTGAGGATGGAATGCTAGAAATGTTGCAGCTGGTGGCGGGGGCATAAATGTTGTCATAGTCTGTAAAGAAAGAAGGAATTACAAAGACTAAATCTATATCGAAATTTATTTAAAATCTAAAAATTTTAAGTTCAAAACTTACCTTGAACGTCATCATATTGAACAAAGAAATTTTGCCCCCTGATGCAGACATGACGTAAGAGTCATTCTTTGACAGAGCAAAGCAAGGGACCACTTCTTCTGGCTTTGTATCTGTTGTATCATTAGTCATTAATATACCACTTGGCGGTTGCCATAACTGAGGAGGAACATTTGTTGTTGCCTGTGTATAGAATAACCATTACAAAATAATTATTAGAACATTCAAATTATGACGATGTTTGCACTCAAATTTCTTTTTTATTACCTTTCCAGAAGAATTTTTTTCATTTCGTGGCCATTTCCATAGAAGATGAATGGCATTGGATGCTAAAGCCAACAACGCAACACCAGAATTTGTATAAATTAACCTTTGAATCTGCATGAAAGGAACTTGTAGGTTTGCAGAATTTAGCAAAATAATTTCAATGATATGGAATATTGGCTTAAATACAACTTACTATAATCCTACTTCTGGAAAGAAATAACATCTGTATTTCCAGATTACAAGAATTAAATCAAATAAACAAAAAACAAAAACTCCAATAATTAGCCGAAAATAAAGTGAAACACAAATAAGAAATAACGGAAAATAAATAAATAAAATCCTACTATAACTTACAACACTCTCCCTCAAGCTCAAGCATAGATGTCAATCATATTCAACTTGGACATGACATCATAAAACAAAGGGCGATGAAAATCTTATATAAGAATATCGGTCATTTGACTAGCGAATGGAACAAACAGAAAACAAATCTCCCCAAAATCGAGTTTCTCCCTTATAAAGTGGCGGTCAATCTCTAACATGTCTGATATGATCATGTTGTACCAAATTATTAGCAATGCTAATAATGGCTTTATTATCACAAAAAGTTGCAAGAGAAACGTTGATCGACATGCATAACTCGCGGAACATGAAGCATAACCAAATAGCTTCACACAAACTCAAAGACAAAGAGAAACTCAACTTCAGCATAACTACGGGCAACAACAAACTTGGTTTACTTTTCTAAGTTATAAAGTTCCATTAACATCCGACCGTGTGTTCCCATTTTGGTTAATTTCAATCCCCGGCCCGGGTTGTGATAAGGACGCCAATTACTTAATGGGGGAGATTTTAAAACCCCTTATGTAGTTTTTGCAGACCATTATCTCGGTTAAAGATAAACTCTAAAACATCGAGGCACATTTTGGTGTAACAAATCAGAATTTTATCAGAAACTGCAAATTTAGGCATGCTCGTATTGATGCGCTTCTGGTATGGATGATCACTTTAGAACTTACTGCAAGGGGACAAAATTTTAGAGTTATTTGGCCAAATGGGATAATATCTCGATAGGTGGGAGTTTAAGCTATTCACATTCATTTCTAGATGGTCAAATTGAATAATAAGACAGAATAATCATATTCTAGTTACAATAATAAGATGTCTTGATTAATGACATTCAAATGCGAGTTATTTAGAAGAAATACAAGATTATTACCATAATTTAAAGGTAAAATTACTCACCTAAATGATGTCTAATTCGATAAGATTTTTCATGATGTCGACTTTTTCTAAAGTGGAAACCTAACATAAGTATAGCCTTTCATATTACAAAACTTTAAAATAATTTATTATTTTAATTTTCTATTAACTTTAAATTAATTATAAATTTTCATATTTTATTTTGGCATTCTACCTATATATATATATATATATATATATATATATATATATATATATATTGTGGGCTTGAAAAAGGTGTCGACAGCGACAGTAGGCTCTGCTAGGGTTTCGCTCGATGGTGATTCCCGGCGGTAATTTCTCGATTTCTCTCTTTCTCTTCGTCATCTCCCACGACGATGTTTTCACACCCTCGCAGACTCCTCGACGGCGCTCACTCGCAGTCATCAGCCTGTCGACGTCGCTCGCTCGAGTCGTCTCTCCTCACCCGCAGTCAACAACCCTCGCTCGCAGCTCCCCATTAGCCATCGCGGCACGCGTCGTCTCTCTCGTACTCGACGACGCCTCTATCGTCCTACCCGACAAAGAGTTTCCCCGAAGTCTACTCGCCTTTTTTCTAGCAGCTCACCTAGTCGCTCTGGAGATGGCCTCGACGATCCGTTCTTATGCCACTGCACTTGCTGACGATTTTCCTATTCCTACTCGTGCCTCTCTTTCAAATTTTGAGTCTGGTTTTCGTATTGGCAAGTCCTGCAATGTTCCACAATCTTTTCACGAAGCTCTTGAAGGTGGTGGTGATCACACTTCCATTAAATAGCTTGGTAAAAAAAATGAAGGTGGTGGTGATCACACTTCCATTAAAAATCTTGGTAAAAAAAAATGGGAAGTCTGTTTTTATTCTCACTGAGGCTGAAACCAGTATTCTCGTGCCTTCTTGGCGTTTTGTTCTAGTGGGGAAATTCCTTTATAGTCACCCAAAACTTGAGATCATTTGAAAAGATTTTGATGCTATGAAGCTATTGGGCAGTTGAAATTGTGGCTTACTGACGGTCGGCATATACGTATTCAACTATCTCACAATATCGATTACACTCATATTTTTTCTCAAAAAATTATCAAGAGCGACAACCGTTTTATGAAAATTCTGAAGTGGACTGTCGATTTTGATCCAAAACAGAGTCCCCTATCATTCCTATTTGGATAAAGCTTCCGTGGGTTAAAATTACATCTGTTCAACTTGAATTTATCTACTACTCAGCAACTGCTTACGGTAAGTCTCAAGATTGATACTCCTACGCTTGCAGTCACCAGACCCTCTGTGGCTTGTGTGTTGTGTTAGTTGAGAGATATTGTTAGTTGAGAGATATATCACTCAACCAGCTCTAGATGAGGTATGGATTAGAACCACTCACAATGGGCATTGACAAAAGGTTGAATTAGAGCCACATCCTCCTTATTGCTCTCATTGTAGTATGTTTGACCACAGTTCTACTATTTGTTATCACTTGCATCCACGCTATCACTTGCATCCACATCTAAGGCCGGATATCGCTAAAGATCAGCCACCTGCCATCCCTACTAAGAAGGTGCAACCCTATTCTCTATCCAACACCGCAGTTCCTGATGAAGAGCACCATACTACAGGTACAGATCCAAACACCACTTATGAAAAGAAAAAATCATGTGTCTAGGCGATAGGCAACAAAATCTGAACAACAGCTTTTGGAAGAAGATAAGCAACAAAATCTGCTATGGGAAAGATAGAATTAATGTTTACATTCAGACCGCCTCATCCTACTCATGTTAGTCTATGATTGTTACTTCATATTATTTTTCACTATGACCATTCTATTCATGTTCCTGACATTGATTTTTCCAAGTCCCAATATCCCAAAGATAGAATTAATGTATATTTGCAGCCGCTGATAGATGAGCTACAAATTCTTTGAGAAATAAATATCATCATATATAACTATTCTATAAGCGGCTTGTAACGATCTGACATGGGGACTTGAAACTGATAAAGTCTGGTATAGATGGTCGGGCAATCAAAATAACAAAATCTCTATCATTCAATTTTTATAACTAACATTTAATTAAATGAAAGAGCCACAAATTTAACTCGTTTGAGATTGTTTGTGTCTTTTATAAATGTTCTCTTCTATCACCTATCTTTTAAATCACTTAATTAAACATGAAATATTAGTTTAAAACAATAGTGAGCTAATCATAGCCAGTGAATACTCACACTTAGATTACAGTAGCACGATGAAAGAGAAAATAATATATATGCTAATTAAGTTTTTAATAAATCAGAAATAAAAAAATTTTGTTATCTTATGAATATGATCATTCACGATATTTCATAATATATAAGGTGGTTTATTATGTCAGTAATATGTTAATACTATTTAGATCTGTACAATTGTCACAAGAGTACCGTAAAAAATTGTTCAAATTAAAGTACTTCAATATCAATATCAGTTTCCATTTATATGCATGGATAACTTAGCGTTCATCTGCTAGTACCATAAAAAAGAGAACTTCATCGTAGTTATACATGCACATACGAACACATATATATAATCAATATCATCCATATGCTTAATGTATAACATATGATATTATATGCTTATCTTTAAATAATATGTTATATTTTTTACTACAAGAAGACCTAACATTTAAATATGATAAATAAAAAAGAGTATATAAATCAGGATAAACTACTACATGAATTTATAGATATCAATATCTATTTATGCAATTGATTAAGAAAAAATAAAATACACTATAAATCTAAGAGTAAGAGTACTCACCTCAATCTTAGATGGTTTTCTTTGTTTTTAGTTTTTATCTAATCCAAGTTAACAGCAATAATTTATAAAATATTCAAGTTACCTAAATTTTTATCACATTAGTTAATTATGTTTAATTTAAGAGTTAATTATCAATATTTATTTTATTACATTATTTAATTAAGATTTCAATACTTAAAATTTAAGTTTAATCATTGCAGTTAATACTTATATTAAGTTTAATCATTGCAATTAACACATTAAATATTAATTTAAAAATACTTTTGGAATCAAAACCCTTATATATATATATATATATAATTTTAATTAAATAATTTAATTAGAATAATTAAAACTCACCGTTATATCTTGAATCGAGAGCCCTAGGCATGGTCTTCCTCCTCCAAGTGCGATGTTGCTTCTCCTTCGCATATAGAAGACGCTAGACTGGTTCTTCCTTCACTCACACACTAGGGTTCGGTCGAGAGCGACAAGCTTCAAATGACAGAAAAATTGCTTTGACCTTCCTCCGAGCGAACCGATTTGTCTCTCTTCAATGCTCGAACCTCTCACTCAGTCATCATCGCCCTCGCCTGCTTAATGCCAATACATAAGCTTCGATGCCCTCATCGAGCGCCTTGTCTCCTCTGCTTGACGACGTTGTCTTCAATCATCATCACCGCCTTAAGCTTCGATAGATGCATGAGGAAGCTATAGCTTGCGTTTGTCGGTCTCATGCCTTCATCCGAGCAATTCAACCCTTTAGATCTTATCTCCACCCCATGTCTTTTATAAAACGAAGGTACCTTTCGTGTTCCCGAGCGCTCACTTCCTCTGCCTCCCTTTGGTTCCTGCAAGGATATGAAAAGGGACATCACAATCTTCTTTAAATTTTGTCCTTGAAATTTATAAACATAATGCAAGTCATCTCTCATTAAGCATGTTAACATGAACTATCCATAAATTTCATGATGAAAACTACGGGTCATTCACTAAGATGAGAAGTAGTCACTGTAAAGTAAAGACCTGATACAAGGCGACTCAATTATACTCCCCTCAATAACAAAATCTAAAAATAACATATCTAAAAAAACACAGTTACTAAAGTGAGAAAATTCGCTCAAAAAACACCCT